CAAGGAACTGTAGAAGGTCAAGGGAGGACCCAAAACATACCATGATATAGAGGCATGCTTATAGAACCAAGTAGTATAAATACAGCTGTAACAGGACAAAAAAAATAGATCCCAACTATGCTGATGATCTGAACGCTGTCTCCATGTTCTTCATTCTTCGCTGACGCCGTCCACACCTTTGGGAACCCCTGGACCGCTGGGGCTGGACCCCGGCATTCCTGGAAGTGGAGATTAAAGCACGACTGGGGGAGGCAAGGCTGGCTCACAAAAGCCGCCGCTCTCCCGTGCACACGAGCGATGAACAGATGGAACTGAAGTGAAAAGCACAACATCACTCACGCTGGTGAGCCCTGCCTCCAAACGAAATACTCAAGCTTAAAGCTAACAACATCTGTGCAGGATCGACAACACCCGGGTGAGAGGACTGAGTGAACAACTGGATCCGTGGAAGATGGTTCATGTTCATGGACAGGAAGGCTCAATACTGCCCAGATGTCCGTTCTCCTCAACGTGATCTGTAGATTCCACGCAATCCCAGTAGAAACCCCAGGAAGTGATGTTGTCGGTGTTAACACACTGGTTCTGAAGTTGGCAAAGACCTAGGATGGCCGACACAACTTCGAAGGAGAAAAACAAAGTTCGAGGGCTGCCCCTACTCAACGCCAAGCCTCGATCTCAAGCTGTAGCCATCACGACAGGGTGGTATTGGTGGAAGAACAGAGAGCCCAGAAGTAGATTTACATAAAATAGCCAACTGGTCTTTGATAAAGGAGTCCCCTTGACAAATGGTGCTGGAACCCCGGACATGTGAAAAAAAAAAATGATTCTAGACACAGACCTTAACAACTGGATCCATGGAAAGATGGACCACAGACATGAACTCAAAATGGATCAGAGACCTAAATGTAAAATATAAAACTATAAAAAAAACCTCCTAGAAGATAGCATAGGAGAAAACCTACATGACCTGGGGTATGGCAATGACTTTTTAGATATAATTCCAAAGACAGTATCCATGAAAGATCTAACTGATAAGTTGGACTTGGTTACAATTAAAAACTTCTGGCCGGTTTGGCTCACTGGTTGGAGCGTCAGCCCATAGACATAAGGGTCCTGGGTTTGATTCCTGACAAGGGCACGTGCCTTGGTTGCAAGCTCGATCCTCAGCCCTGGTTGGGCGAGTGCAGAAGGCAACCAGTCGCTGTGTCTCTCTCACATTGATGTTTCTCTCTCTGTCTCTCCCCCTCCCTTGCACCCTCTCTAAAAATCAATGAAAAAATATCCTCAGGTGAGGATTATCAAAAATAAATAAATAAGGCTCCAACGCCTCAAACAAACAAACAAACAGCTCTAGCTGGTTTGGCTCAGTGGATTGAGCGTCGGCCTGTGCACTGAGGGTCCTGGGTTTGATTCCAGTCAAGGGCACATGCCCTGGTTGTGGGCTCAACCCCCAGTGTGGGCCGTGCAGGAGGCAGCCAGTCAATGAGTCTCTCTCAGCATTGATGTTTCTATCTCTCTCTTCCTCTCCTTTCCTCTCTGAGATCAATAAAGATGTATGAAAACAAGCAAATAAACAAACAAACTTCTGCTCTGGGAAAGACAGCTTCAAGAGGATGCGAAGGCAGGTCCCGGGCTGGGAGCGATATTTGCAAATGACACATTTGTCCGAAATATACAAAATATCACAAGAGTCAGTAAGAGAACAAAGAACCCAGTTCAAAATGAGCCAAGGACCTTGGCAGAGACCTCCGCACAGAAGATACATAGACGGCAAATGAGCCCATGGGAAGATGCCCTCATCCTATGTCATCCGGGAAATGCAAGCTAAAGGACAGCGAGGCGCCCCCCGCACGCCCGGCCTCCATCGGGGCCACTGCCCCCCCCGCATGCGGGTGGGGGTGTGGAGCGACAGGGGCGCGCATTCATCGCTGCCGGGAGCGCAAGGCGGGGCAGCCACTGTGGCGGACGGTTGGCAGCTTCTTACCAACCTAACCATGTACTCCTCCTACCCAGTCACTGCCTCCTCGGTATTTACTCAAAAGAGCTGAAAAGCCCGCAGGCGGATGTTGCTATTTGTGACTACCAAGACGCGGAAGCGACCAAGAGGTCCTTCCGTGGGCCAGGGTAAACGGTGGAACAGCCAGCCAATGGAGTGCTACTCGGTGCTAAATAGCAGTGAGCTAACCAGCCAGGAGCGCAGCGGAGGAACCTTAGATGCGTATGACCGAGAGAAGGAGGCCAACCCGAGAGGGCTGCCTCCTGGAGGTTTCCAGCTCCATGACTTTCTGGAAAAGGCAAAACTATGGAGACAGTGAAAAGGTCAGGGGTGGCCAGAGGCTGGGGGTGGGGAGGGGTGGACAGGCAGAACCCCGAGGCGTTTTAGGGACTGGCCACGACGCCCTGTGACACTATCAGGATGGATGCGTGTCGCGATACACCTGTCCAAACGCACAGGCTCCCGCACACAGAGGGACCGAATGCCACCTCTGGGCTTCGGGTCCCGGTGCCGTGCCCGTGTGGGCCATCGTCACTCGCGGCACGCGCTGCGGGAACGCTGATGGCGCAGGAGGCCTTGTGTGCTTAGGGGCAGGTGTATGTGAACATCTCGGTACCTTCGCCTCGATTTTGCTGAGAACCTAAAACTTCTCTTTAAAAACAGCTTATTAAAAAGGAATCCACGGCCGGGCAGACACGCTCGGCTCGAGACCGGCGGGTTTCTCCGAGTGGAGGCGAGGGGCAGAGGCCGGACGCCTCCAGGCCGAGGGACGAGGGGGGAAGGTGCCATGTTTGGGGCCATTGAGTGTCTCCTGAAGACTTGTTTTCACAAAAGCGCAACAAATAGAAAGAGTGAGCCGTTATAATGGCGACTGCGTCATCTTCTTAGTGAATAATACGCTCCGTTTTCTAGAGAAAACTTTAACAATGTTTGACTGTATCTACTGAGTGGACAGCGGTCAGCTTCTGACTGGAAGGCATGGCATAGATACACCAGGTACAAATCCCGACGGGGTGAGGTTTCCCTGCACGTCGTGCCGCAGGCCAGGCCCCTGCGACCGCCTGCCCCTGCCATCACGGAGCCGGCGCTGGGCCTCCCACCAGGCGGCAGAGCCCACCCGGCCCGTCACCCACTAGCACCTGCTTCTGCGGAGCAGCCAGCCGTCCGTGAATGCGTCGCCTCCGGCTGCGGGGTGCTGGCCCCTGGAGCAGGTGTGGGGGCTCCTTGCTTCAAAGCCCACACGTTGCGCATTTTAGGTTCCCGTAGCCCTTTTACCTAAGAAGTCAGGAGAAGCCAGGCTGAGTCTACATGCATTTATCCGAAACAGCTTCGCCTCTAGCCAGTGGTCGGCAAACTCATCAGTCAACAGAGCCAAATACCAACAGGACAGCGATTGAAATTTCTTTTGGGAGCCACATTTTTAAACTTATACTATATAGGCAGGTACATTGTTATTAACTTAATTAGGGTCCTCCTAAGGCTTAGGAAGAGCCACACTCAGGGGCCAAAGAGCCGCTTGTGGCTCGAGAGCTGCAGTTTGCCGACCACGGCTCTAGGGCAGTGGTTCTCAACCTTCTGGCCCTTTAAATACAGTTCCTCATGTTGTGACCCAACCATAACATTATTTTCGTTGCTACTTCATACCTGTCATGTTGCTGCTGTTATGAATCGTCATGTAAATATCTGATATGCAGGATGGTCTTAGGCGACCCCCGTGAAAGGATCATTCGACCGCCAAAGGGGTCGCGACCCACAGGTTGAGAACCGCTGCTCTAGGGTCAGTAACACACAGTGTCTCCTCGATGTGTATGAAAGCCGGCTGCCTGCTTCTGCCCACACACACCGCTGCCCCCAGACGCGGTGACCTCGGTGGGGGCTCCGAGAAGAGTCCCAACCCGGAATGTTCCCTAAAACGCTGTCACCTGGAACGTGCTCACGGAGTGGAACTAAGGTCTCGCGAAGTAAACGCACCCGGTGGGCAGTCCTGGCCTGTGGGCGTGGCCGTGCGGGATGCTCGGAATGCCAGGGCCATGACCAGCACCGTGCTCTCTGGCCTGCTTCCCCGGTTGGCTGGACAGGGCTGGGGGACGGGCTGAACCCCAATGAGAGGCGTCTGCACAGGGACAATGAGGCGACTGAACAGGCGAAGAGAGCGAGAAGGAAGGGCCCCGGGCGGGCCACCCTGAGGGGGAGAGACGTGGGGCCGAAGCTGCAGCCATGGGAGCGGCTCAGCATCGCAGGACGTGCCCGCTGTCTCCTCGCTTAAAATGAAGCGACAGAGAGAGCTGGGGCCACTGGCCTCAGCCGGGGCAGCGGCGAGCTCCGACCGCCCTGTGCACCGCCTGGCTGGGCTTGGGGACCCAGCTGTTCCTCAGGAGGGGACGGGGCGTTTGCTTTCCAAAGAGCAGTCACAGCAGCAACAGTGGCAGCCAACACCTGAACGGGGCGCACCACGCAGACGGCCAGGTGTCAACGCCCCTGTTTCGTGGCCTCATCTGTAAAATGGGGTACACTGCACTGCCCAGGAGGCAGGGGCGCTAGGGGACGCACTCACGGTCATGCAGGGGGTGTGGTCAGAAGGTGGATGGAGCCCAGCCCTGCTCCGCTGCCCGAGCTGTCACGCAGGGTCACACACAGCGCCCTGGGCTTTGCTCCTGCCCTCCGCGCCCCTCGAGGCCCGCAGGCCGCAGCTCGGCACAGGCACAGCGTGTATCCGGGACGCAAACGCTGCGCGATCGGACTGTCGGGCACCTTTTCTCACTTAAAAGCCTGAGGACATGGCGCCGACCAGCCTGCACAACCACCTCCACCTGCCGGGCGCTGCGGCGGCGGCTGCACGCGCCGGCCACCAGGGGGCAGCGGCGGCGCGGGCTCGGCGCTCGGCGGCTCGGGCGTCGCTTGCTCCGGCCTGGCCCTCGGCCCTCGGCGCTCGGCGCTCGGCGCTCGACGCGCGCGGCTGGGGACGTGGGCGCCGCGGCCCCGCCCCCCGGCGGCGGCTCGGCTCAGTCGGCGGCGCGCGGCGCGGGCGGAGGGCGCGACCGGCGGGCGGGGCGCGGGGCGCGGCGCGCGGCGTGGGCTCCTCCGCGGCCCTCGGCGGCCGCGGGCTCGGCGGGGACCATGGCGCTGCGCGCCCGCGCGCTGTACGACTTCAGGTCGGAGAACCCGGGCGAGATCTCGCTGCGCGAGCACGAGGTGCTGAGCCTGTGCAGCGAGCAGGACATCGAGGGCTGGCTGGAGGGCGTCAACAGCCGCGGCGACCGCGGCCTCTTCCCGGCCTCCTACGTGCAGGTGATCCGCGCGCCCGAGCCCGGCCCCGCGCCCGACGCCGGCCCGGGCCCCGGCCCCGGCGGCCCGGCCCGCTACGCCAACCTGCCTCCCGGCGGCCTGGAGCCCCTGCCCTCCCCGCCGCCCGCCGCCTTCCAGCCTTCGAGCAGCTTCCAGCCGCCGAGCACCTTCCAGCCGCCGAGCACCTTCCAGCCGCAGAGCACCTTCCAGCCGCCGGGCGCCTTCCAGCCCCCGTACGCCGGGGGCGCCCTGCAGCCGTCGCCCCAGCAGCTCTACGGCGGCGGCGGCTACCAGGCGAGCCAGGGCAGCGACGACGACTGGGACGACGAGTGGGACGACAGCTCCACGGTGGCGGACGAGCCGGGCGCGCTGGGCGGCGGCGCGTACCCGGACCTGGACGGCGCCTCCGCGGGGGGCCCCGGCCGCTACCGCCTGTCCACGCGCGGCGACCCGTCGCTGGGCCCCCGGGGCGGCCCGCTGCCCGCGCCGCACCCGCCGTCGGGCGCCAAGAGCTCGGCCACGGTGAGCCGCAACCTGAACCGCTTCTCCACCTTCGTCAAGTCGGGCGGCGAGGCCTTCGTGCTGGGCGAGGCGGCGGGCTTCGTCAAGGACGGCGACAAGCTGTGCGTGGTGCTGGGCCCGCACGGCCCCGAGTGGCAGGAGAACCCCTACCCGTTCCAGTGCACCATCGACGACCCCACCAAGCAGACCAAGTTCAAGGGCATGAAGAGCTACATCTCCTACAAGCTGGTGCCCACGCACACGCGCGCGCCCGTGTACCGGCGCTACAAGCACTTCGACTGGCTGTACGCGCGCCTGGCCGAGAAGTTCCCGGTCATCTCGGTGCCGCACCTGCCCGAGAAGCAGGCCACGGGCCGCTTCGAGGAGGACTTCATCTCCAAGCGCCGCAAGGGCCTGGTCTGGTGGATGAACCACATGGCCAGCCACCCGGTGCTGGCGCAGTGCGACGTCTTCCAGCACTTCCTCACCTGCCCCAGCGGCACGGACGAGAAGGCCTGGAAGCAGGGCAAGCGCAAGGCAGAGCGCGACGAGATGGTGGGCGCCAACTTCTTCCTGACGCTCAGCACGCCGCCCGCCGCCGCGCTGGACCTGCAGGAGGTGGAGAGCCGCATCGACGGCTTCAAGAGCTTCACCAAGAAGATGGACGACAGCGCGCTGCAGCTCAACCACACGGCCACGGAGTTCGCGCGCAAGCAGGTGACGGGCTTCCGCAAGGAGTACCAGAAGGTGGGCCAGTCCCTGCGCGGCCTCAGCCAGGCCTTCGAGCTGGACCAGCAGGCCTTCTCGGCCGGCCTCAACCAGGCCATCGCCTTCACCGGGGACGCCTACGACGCCATCGGCGAGCTCTTCGCCGAGCAGCCCCGGCAGGACCTGGACCCGGTCATGGACCTGCTGGCGCTGTACCAGGGCCACCTGGCCAACTTCCCCGACATCATCCACGTGCAGAAAGGTGAGGCCGGGGGCAGGGGCGGGTGGGGTGTGCTGGGAGGGGGGGCGGCCTGGACAGACAGGCTGCTCTCCCCTGGGCCTGGGGGTGTCCAGGCATCGTTCCGGAATTTGAATGTTGGGCCAGGCGCTGCTGGGACCTGTGTCCAGGCCCCCTCGGAAGGGGACGCAAACATCATAGGCCTCTGTGAGCACCCGGGGTGGCTTAGGGCTGGGGGTCAGGAGGCTTAGAGGTCCCGGGGAGGCCTGCCTGCAGTCGCAGGTGCGTCTGCCCTCACTCCCCGCCCCCGCCCCGCCCCGGCTCGGTGGAGGAGTTGGGGTCAGTGCTCCCGGGGCCTGGCCGGGCAGCGGAAGCCCTCCGCTTCCTGCAGGCCTCTGGCTTGCGGCCTTGGTAGACTTTGAGGAAGTTTTGAGAAATCTGTTTCAGCCCAGTCCTTGTGATTGTGGAGCCCGTGAGACTGAAGTGAAGAGCGGTCTTCAGACCAGGGCGTGGGACGCCGTGGAATGTGTGGGGTCTGGCCGTCGGGTCTGAGGGCCCGTCCTGGCATCTCAGCGAGAACCAGGAACTGCCGGCCGCCCAGGGTTTTACTGGTGATAGTGGCTGCCTGACACTCGGTGAAGCTAAACGGGCCCTTTGTTCCTTCCCAGCGTAAATGAGGGCAGTGTGGCCTCTGGAGACAGCCCTCCCCGTGCGCATCCCGGCTGTGCCTGGGGGAGGGCTGGGGAGGGCTCCCAGTGAGTGTCCTCCGAGAGGGTGGGGAGGAGGGGGCGCCGTCTAACCCCTCCTGGGTAACAGCCTGGCCTTCCGCAGTGCGGGGTCCGGCCTTTCCAGGGGCCAAGCCCGTTAGGACACCCCTGGCCTTGGACATGGTCTGACTTGCATTGAACTAAAATCTGCCTCTTGGTCCCCTTTCTGCTCCCGAGAGCCACACAAAACCTGTCGGTCCCTCCTCCCTGTCAGCCCTCAGACCCGAGGCCGCAGTCTCCCTCCCCCCCCTCCAGTGCCAGTCCTGACTCACCGGGGGGGGGGGGGGGGGGGCGCCTGCAGACGCCTGGGTGTGCTGGTGCCCCTGGAGGCCGGACCTCGCAGGGCGCTGTGAAGGCAGCCACAGCCCTGCCGGCCCGGCCCGCCTGCCCTCCACCCCTGCCGGCCCGGCCCGCCTGCCCTCCACCCCTGCGCCTCTTTTGGGTAAATTGGTTTGAATCCTTGACCCTGGCTGGTCCTGGTGGGTCTCACGCTTGGGCCTTGAGTGCAGGACCTGACATTGAAATTCCACTTGTGTTACACCCATGGGGACCCCCGGCTGGCTGCCTCTTTGTTTATTCATGTCGCTTATGCAAATTGCTGGTGAGTAGTTGGGAGGGTGGGGCCAAGTGCACACACCTGTGGCCTTGACCCAGGTGGCTGGTCCTGCCCGGTGACTGGCCCTGCCCGCCCCGGCTCAGTCTGGGTCTCGGTCTCGGGTCGCTGGGACCACGCTACGCCAAGCGCCTGCTCTGGGAGTTGCTTGTGAGAAAGGGCGTGTGTCGTGTGCGCTAAGAGCTGTTGGGCGTTTACAGCCGTGCTTGTGGAGTCTAGGAAACCATGGGGCTTGTTTATTTTTTAATCCTAAAGCTAAAATTGTCTCCTATGACTTGGGATTTGAGAAACTCCCTTTATTAACACCAGTACCGTTTGATGTCGTTTAAACAGTCAGGGGCACCGACCGTAACCTCCAGGCGCCTGGGAAAGAACACCGGTCGGTGTTTGACGGTCGTGTGTGTCGCAGCCTCCGTGGGTGACGCACGGGGACCGGGTCCCTAGGTGACGTGTTTAGAATGTGCTGCCACCTGAGGCTGCAGCGCGCAGGCCAGGGCACGGGCTGCCAGGCTGGTGACCAGGGAGGCTCCGTGCAGGTGAGAGAACGTCACACCAGGTGACGCACAGGGAATGTGCCCCGGCCATGGGCAGCTCCTGGCTTTTTATTCATGTAACAAGTTTATATTTCAACTCAGGGAGAATGTTACCAATTCAGAAGAGTTATTTCATCTCTTAAGTTCTTGTTCTTACAGCAAGACAGACCGCTTCACCCTGCCTTGTACTGTTCTGATAGGATGCGAGAGAGGTGATTGGAAAGTGCTTCTTAATGACGAATGCTGTGGAGACGCCGTTAATGAGGTGCCCCCCCCCCCCGACTCCTGGGGGACGGTAGGACCACTTGGCCCTCTGAACTCGTCTCTGGCCCAGGAGACTGCTTTTCTGTGTTGGACCAGGGCTGCTCCGTGCTGGCTCTGTGGGCCACGTGCGGCTCTTTACATTTAATTAAAGTGAAATAAAATGGAACGACTCGGTTCTCAGCCACACTCAGTGTCCTTAGTGCTTTGTAGCAGGTGGCCACCACATGGGACGCAGGGATGTCGCTGGCCCTTTCCTCCGCTGAAGGCTGAGCCAGCCCGTGCTGGACAGCTGTCCCCTGTCGGGCCTCTCCGGCCGCGAGTGGTCTTCCCACGGGCTTCCTGCTCACTCGGCCCCTCCCGGCCGCCCCTCCCGCCCCTCCCGCCCCGTGGGCTCAGGAGGAGACTCGCAGGGGAGGAGGCCGGTGGACCCTCTTCCCGTGGGGAAGGTTTCTGCACGTGGGGACGCCCATGTGCTCGGCAGCCGCCTCGCAGCCCATTCAGAAAACGGCCGTCTCAGGATGGGCGTCTGATGAGCGGGGACGCGCGGCGCCTCTCGCGTGGGCTGGCCCTGCCGCCCGTGCTCGTGCCGAGGCCGGGCTGACGCGTAACCGTTTCATGTACGTGCTTCCTGCAGAGCTGAAGAGCGCCATATGGCTCCTCTAGCTGAGGGAGCATTCTGGGGTGGCGGTTTTTTTTTCATCTGCTAATGGAGGCTTGGATAAACAGACCTGCTTCGGTTAATGGGCTGAGTGAAGGGGGAGGCAGCTTCCCAGCCTGCAGGGCAGTGGATGGAAATTCAGAATCTGCTGGGATTTTATTCACGTTTTGCTTTGTCTTTAGAGGAGTCCCACCCAGCTGGTGTGGCTCAGTGGTTGAGCACTGACCTATGAACCAGGAGGTCACGGTCAGGGCACAGGCCCGGGTTGTGGGCTCGACCCCCAGTGTGGGGTGTGCAGGAGGCAGCCCATCCATGATCCTCTCTCATCATTGATGTTTATCTCTCTGTCCCCTCCTTTCTCTAAAATTAATAAAAACATTTAAAAAAAGAGGAGTCCCTTTAGTTCTCTGCTTACTGATTCCTGCGAGGAGGCCATCCCTGCCCACAGGGATGCAGATGTTGGTGAGTTTGAGGTACAACAGAGAGTTTCTTAGCTTATTTCCTTCTATTTCCAAAGATATGACTAATCTCTCGTAGATAATAACGCTCAGTGCATGGCAGTGAGTCACGCCTGAAGGCTGCAGGCTCACCTCGAGGGGAATGTTGCCGGAGGGAAGACTGTAAGCCTTTGGTGATGAGAAACGGGGTTTTACCTCTGCTCCTGCATGTGGGCCAGGAGCTGGAGGGCCCTCCTGGGGACATTCTTCATCCCGAGGAAGGTGTGAGGCCCGGCCAGGCGGCTTGTCCGTCTGAGGGTGTGACGAGGACACACAGGCATCGGGGTCTGTGCTCTTGAATGGGGCCCTCTGAGCACTCCTGATTCGGCCTTCTGTTCCACCCAAGCGGCCGGGAGTGGCACCCAGCTCTGGCCCCGCCCTCCGTCTAGAGTTTCGCCATTGTGCTCCCTCCCCACATGAATTAAAGATGGCCGGGCCCTCAGGGCACGTGGGGTGAGGCCGGGCTACCTTCCCTGTCTGCTGCCTCCTGAGCTAAAAATAGCCCTGGGGCAGAGCCAGGGAGAAGGTCTCAGAGGCTCTCACACTCCGCCTCTGTGTGAAGGTCTGGGTAGAAACTGAGTCACTCATCTGCCCCCACTGCCACCCCACGCGCCTGTGGGAGGCAGCCAGCCTTCCCCGCGGGCCCAGGCTGAACTCCCCCGTGGAGGAGGATCCCTGCTCCGTAGAGCCCTCCATCGCCCCGGGACTTGCCTTTCCTCTCCCGAGAGAGGAGTTCGTTACTGAGCAGGCGGGAGGAGGTGGCTGGGGGGCTGCTCAGTCGTTGGGTTTACTCAGAGCCTCTGGGAGAGAGCCCTGGTTTTATTCAGCACCTAGCTCAGTGCCCACCGTGGACCAGGCACTGCTAGTGCTAGGGCTGTGCCTGCCTGTGTGGGTCAGTGGGTGGGCGTTGCCCCGGGTACGGAAAGGTTGCTGTTTGATTCCTGGCCAGGGCACATGCCCAGTGGGGTGTGTGCAGAAGGCAGCCCATTGATGTTTTGCTCTCATATTGATGTTTCTTTCTCTCTCTCCCTCTCCCTTCCTCTCGCTCTAAAAATCAATAAAAAATATTTTGAAAAAAGATGCTAGGGTTGTCTCAGTGACCAAAGCAGAGATGCCTGCCCTTGTGGAGGGTGCAGGCTAGCAGATGGAGAAACCTGAAAAGCACACGCAGTGACACATGCTAATGTAACGTGCGCTGGAGTGGGGCGTGCGGGGCACATAGAATGGGGCAGGAAGTGAGCCTGGGGAGGCAGAAGGAAGTTTAAAGGAGTGAGCCACCAGGGGTCCCGGGAGCCAGGGCGCTGGCGGGGCCGAGTGCCGGGCAGGCGAGGCGACGAGGCCAGGTGACCCCCTAAGAGGATTCGGTGGGGGCTGAGGGCCCGGGAGGCCGAGCTGCAGGGCTATGGGTCGTGGTCGGACTTGTGGGAAAGCCGGGTGAGATGGGGCCAGAGCAGGGATGGAGCCGCGGCCTGAAGGACGGCCGGTCCGACCCAGGCTTCCTGGGGCTGCTGTGTGAAGATCGAGTGGGGAGGGGCAGGTGCCACAGGCGGGAGCAGGGAGCCAGCAGGAAGCTGCCCACTGATCCAGGCGAGAGACGGAGGCTGGACCAGGGACCGGGGAGGCGCAGCGGAGAGGGGAGGGGCCGCTGTGGACATCAGCGGAGTAGAGTGGACAGGCTTTCCTCAGGGCCGG